TCTTGGACTTTTAAGGAATAAACAGATTTATTTATTTATAAACTTTATATTCCACATTTTCATTGCTCTGTAAAAAAAAAAAAAGAACAAAATATTCCCATATTAGGGATGATGATGATGATGATGTTATCCATTGATTCGTGTCCAATTGTTGGTGTTCTTATGGGGCAGGTCTCTCCACATATCCCAATCTTGTGCTACTTCTTTGAGTTTTTCTATGTTCTGGCTAGTGTCAGTTTTGATGGTGTCCAGCCATCGTGTTCCTTGGTGGCCTGGTTTTCTTTTACTGCGAACTTTTCCCAACATAAATGCTTTCTTCAGTGAATTACCCTACATGACATGACCAGAGTAAGCGAGACACAGTTTTGTGATTTTTCCTTCCAGTGACATATCTGGTATTGTGGGCTCCACTACTTTTTTTTTTTAATTTGATTTATATGCCGCCCTTCTCCGGAGACTCAGGGCGGCTTAGAATGCGTTAAGCAATAATCTTCATCCTTTTGTATATTTATACAAAGTCAGCTTATTGCCCCCACAAACTGGGTCCTCATTTAACCTACCTTAGAAAGGATGGAAGGCTGAGTCAACCTTGAGCCTGGTGAGATTCGAACTTACAGTAATTGCAGACAGCTGGTGTTAATCACAATGCTTTTAGTCTGCTGAGCTACCAGGTCCGTCTTGCTTGTCGCCTTTGCTGTCCAAGAAATACACAGGAGCCTTCTCCAGTACCACAGCTCAAACAAGTCAATTTTCTTCCTGTCTTGCTTTTTTAAGGCCCAACTTTCACAACCAGAGTTAGCTGTGGGGAACACAATATAACAGACTAATCTACATTTGATTGCCAGGCTGATATCCTTGCTTTTTCATATTTGGCTCATGTTCATCGTGATTGTGTGACCTAAAGTATTTTTTTCATTCTTCACTGTCAATTTCTATTTTGATGTTTACATTCCTTGCAGTGGTCATGAGTTTGGTTTTTTTGATGTTCAGAAAGAGACCCAAATTCTCACTTCCTTCTTTGATTTCCTTGATCAGATGTTCCAGGCCTTCTTTACTTTCTGAGAGGAGAAGTGTATTGTCAACGTATCAAAGATTGTTGATGTTTCTTCCTCTAATCTTTACCTCAATTTTTGATTTTTCGAGATCTAGCTTTCTCATGATCATTTCAGCATACAGGTTGAATAAGAAAGAAGAGAGAATGAAACCCTGTCTCACTCCTTTCTCTGTCTTAAACCAATCCATGTCTCTATATGGTGTTAGCACAGTGGCTTCCGATTTGAGTACAATGATTTCCCCAACTTGACCAGATGTGCTCCATAGCTTCTCATGATCCACACAATTGAAGGCTTTCTTGTAATTGAGGGAGCATACATAACTCATCTTTTGATAGTCACAAGATTTTTTTCCAGTGCAGATTTGCAAGATGGTCACAGGTGCCATGACTGCTTCAGAAGCCAGCTTGGACATCTGGTAATTCCCTTTTGATGGTTGGTGCTAAACATTGTTATATAATTTTAAGCAGAATCTTGCTGGTGTGAGGGATGAGAGTAATTGTACAATAGTTGGAGCAATTTTTAGAATCACCCTTTTTCAGCAATGGGATGAACACGGAATGTTTCCAATCCTGTGGCCACGTCTTGGTTTCCCAAATTTTCTGGTACAGGTTTCTAATGACTGTGGGTGTTACAGGTTTCAGTATTTGGTAGGAATGATGTCAACACCTGGAGTCTTCTGTTTGGCAGTTGGTTCATTGCCTATATGATCTCTTCCTCAAGGATGGCTGGTTCTCTTTCTACTTCTCTTTCCTCATCATCCTGAGGCTGGGCCCCTTTGCTACCTGGATGCAATTCTTTTGTATATTCTCATCTGTTCTTGATCTTATTGGTCAGGTAGTTCTTTCCCTTGCTTGTTTTTGATGATGCCTTTATGTGCAATCAATTGTGTACTGATTTTTTTGACTTGCATTAATGCATTCCTGGTGTGACCCTTCATGTAGACGTCTTCAAGTAGTTTACATTGCTCATCCTAGCAAACTTCATTGTTCTTTCTTGCTGTCTTCTAGAACAGACGTCACCAACCTTTTGGACCTCAGGGACCACTAAATTCATAATTTTAAATCCCGTGGACCACTAATATGATCTGCCTAATGACTGAGTGGGTGGGGGTGGCTAGGTGGTCATGTGACTGAGTGGGCGTGGCCAACTCAATGTCACTCAGATCGAGGGGCACCTCGCCGGCCTCTACTCACCCCTCCCAGCCACTCCTCACCTGCCTGCCTGGCTCTTTAGGGCCCCAACAGGAAGCAGTTGTTGGAGCTAAGCAGCCACCATGAGAAAGAGGATTATGAGCATAGACTTTCCAAGCAGGAAAGAAGACCTGCAGGACTGCAAGGCCAGGTACCTGCACCTGGAGGCTCAGTGGGCTGAGATAGTCAGCCAGTTCCAGGCCATGGTGCAGTCCCACTGGAACAAGGCCCTCCAGCTCCTTGCCACCAGCGGTGTTTCCCTCCAGCCTTTGCTCAAAGCCCCACACAAGGAGGCTGAAGCAGACCCCAAGTTGGAATTTCTGTCCCCCTCCAACCTGCACAAAAAGACCCTGAATGGGGAGACTCTCTGCAGCAACATGAACATTCATTGCACGTATCCTGCCCAGGGGCCCAGGGTAGTTTGAGGACCCCTGATTTAGTGCAATATAAAAAATGCAAATAATTTTTCTGCAGACCAGCAAAATTTTCTTGCGGACCACCAGTGGTCCACGGACCACCAGTTGGTGACCACTGCTCTAGAAAGCTGCATTCAGTTTTCTTGCTTCTTCTCATGTGCCTTTGCTGCTTTGCTGCTTTTCTTTGGTCATCTATTTTGATGACTTCATCTGAGAGCCATTTGCACTTTTTCTCTGGCTTGTTGTATGGTGTGTTTTCTTCCACAATTCTAATAATAGTTGATTGAATCTCCTGCCACAGTTCATCAGGCATCTTCTCAGCAGTTCAAAACTATTTTTCACCTCAGTTGTTTATGTAGTAAGAATTTTGATGGAAGCAAATTTCTTTGGAGGCACTGCCTTTTTGACAGTGCATAGTTTGACTTTAATCTTGGCTAACAATAATTTATGATCTGAGCCACAATCAGCACTTGGATATGTCTTAATAGAACTGGTCCCTTGATGGCTGCATAGAACATAGACAATACGATTACAGTGAAATCCATTAGATGAACTCCACTTGTATAAGCGGCAATACTTGTGATCATATATTTATGATCTAAATTGGTTTTCTTGGCAAAATTGTATTAAACAATCTCTGCATTGTTCCTCTCACCTAGTCCAAAATGACTAGTGATGCCTGGACTCCACTTGCTTGCCAACATTTGCATTGAACTTGCCCAAAATGTAAACAATGTCTTTTGGGGCGCTTGTTTCAGAGTTTCTTGGACCATGGCATAAAAGCTCTGTTACAGCAGTCACTGGGGCATAGACTTGGACAATTGTGATGTTGAGGGGCTTGGCAGGAATTCCGATGGTCATAATTTGGTCATTGATAGTTGACAATATATATACTGCTTTAGCAAGTTTCTTGCTTACAGTACATGTCACTCCATTTGTTTTCCTTGTATCAACTCCTAAGGAGAAATTTCTGAAGTGCCTTGCCCAACTTTGCCACAAAGCCATCTTCAGGAAGCCACAAACTTTTCAAAACAGAGCAGTTTTAAAGATTATTACATGCGTACTTGGAAGAGATCAGAGCGAAAGTCTTCTAACCACAGAAGATGTGTGGTTAGATGATCTACCTAATCCCAGGAAGTTTCAGAGTGTATATAAGCATTGCCACTTCACCTCAGATCATCACTCAGAGAAAGCGGAACAAAAACTTCATCGCAAAGAAAAAGGTAAGTCAGAATATATTTGTTTTAATGCTTTCTCAGCTATTATTTGGCAAACAGAATTACTGCTTTGAAGAGCTGCATAAATATCATCTTGTGAATTTTGATCGCTTTGAGATACTTTGAAATGAGTGGGGATATAGAAATAGCAATACCTGCTTAACCTTTTCACTGAAATCAATTTACTTATAGTTGCTTTGCACCCCAGTTTTTTATATTGCGCTGCTTCTTGTAATATTTTGGTCCACTCGTATATGAAACATAATATTCATTTTAAAGTGGTCAAATAGTCAGCCATGTCTTTGCCCTTCCTTATTTTATTTCCTTTTTTCTTCCCCTGCTTTGTCAGAGCAAGTCAAAATCAGATTCATCATTTACATTCCAAATTCAGAAGACATATTGTCCTCGGGCCATAGGAGAGTAGGGTTTATTTAATTTTCTGTTTATATTTTAACTCTTCTGATGATCAAAGACGAACAGTAATGATGAACAAAGAGGAACATTAATGTATTTACATAAAATAGTAATATTTTTTCTCTTCTATTTCCAAAGCTCATAGTCAGGTAAAGTTTGGGTATTAAGAAGTCAGTCACTGAGCCACCTATGTTCTTCTCTCTGTGTTAGAAATTCAGTTATTTTCTCATGAAGCAAGTTGGTCCATACCCTGAATGCAGCTACTCAGAGGATTCTGCCCAAAAACTTTGGAAAGGTGCTATCTCAAAAGTGTAATGAATCCACATTGTTTGAGATCATTAATGTCTCAGTGTCTTTTTCTCTTAAATATAAATCAGAAGATTCAGTTCAGACTCTGATACAGCCAATGAGAGGGGCCAATGTTTACACTTGCTTTAAAATAATTAGCATGTTTGCAAGAGAACACTAAAGACTTTTTTTATCATTGATATTCATTAGAAATCAGCACATGGTTATATCATTTTCTTAAGCACAATTGGGTAGAGCCATGGGATCTGGGAAGCAAAATAACCAGATGTCCATCTCATGGTAGGAGAGAGTTCTAATAGTCATTTGGAGACCAACAATTTTTTCTTGAGCGGCATGCATTAACTTGGCATTCAGTTATCTAACTGTTAATAACTAATAACTAATTCTTCTTACAGGTTTATTCAACAAAATGAAGATTGTGATTCTTCTTGCCTGGCTTTTGGCCATCATTGTTCCTTTTGAGGTACTGTACCCATATTGTGATTGCATGTAGGATTCATTTAATGCTTGAGAAAAAATAACTGCAAAGTTTTGGGGAGTCAGTGGGCCATGTCATATTTATGGAATTGGTTGGGCAGAATATTCATTTTCTCAAGATTCATGTCTGAAGGTTCAGTGAGGGAGGTCAGCATTATTATCTCACCCTGCAAATAGAGGCTGGGATGGAGGAATCAGAGAGACAGAGAGAAAGAATGTTCAATTCATATAGGAAGTTCATAAATCTGCAGAGACCTGAAACAGATCTTCCTCCTCGTTGGCATGGAGCAGTGTTTCTCAATCTTGGCAACATTAATATATATGGTTTGGCTGGTTGGGGAATTCTGGGAATTGAAGTCCATACCACATATGGTTGCCAAGACTGAGAAATAGTAACATACAGTAGAGGTTTCAAAATAAGTATTTCCTGTTAAAAGATTTCCAAAGGTGGATTTGGGGCAATGTCACTTGAAGTCTTGGAAGGCAATAGCCTGCTGGGGGAGATCAGCTTTTACAATCCCATAACCTACTAAACCAACTTAAAACCGGGGACCCAATTATTCATATGGACTTGCAGATAAGTGGCCAAAGGCAATCAAAATGCTTGCTTAGTGCTCTTGTGATGGGCCGCAATCTTTGCGGCTGGCTTGATTTGACTTGGGGAATCAGTTTTGTAATAATAATGGTGATGGAATGATTTCATAAAAAACAGTTATCACCTCAACTGAAATATTATAAAATCATCATATCTACAACTTGTAATCTCATTTTAAAAAATCATTTTAATCTTATCTTTTCCTCTTTTTTCTCCTTCTCTTCCAGGCCCGCCCTGTAGAAATTGAAAGCAGTGAACAATGGCCATTCCTATTTTATCCATCACATCCAAACTACCCAATTCTGAGTGATCCACCTCAAAACCAACCTTTAAACCTTTACTATCCAAAGGAGATAGTTGATCCTCTAATAAAGGCTTTAATAGAACTAGTAAATTATATTCCTGCTGGGTTTCCCAGACTCCCGGGGCCTCCAGGGCCAACAGGGCCTGAGGGGCCTATGAGTCCTGTGTGGCCCATGGATTCTGAGGGTCATCCTGATCCCATAAATCCTGAAAACTTCCCATGGCCCATGAGTCCTGAGAGCACCCCACAACCCATAAATCCTGAGAGCATCCCACAACCCATAAGTCCTGAGAGCATCCCACAACCCATAAGTCCTGAGAGCACCCCACAACCCATAAGTCCTGAGAGCATCCCACAACACATTAGTCCTGAAAGCCCCATGGAGCCCATGGATCCTGAGTACCACCCCCAAGGCATGTTTCCTCCTGAGGTCCCTGTGTAGAGTGGAAGCAAAATCCTATTTTGTTGATTGGTAAGTCCTGTTGAGACATTTCACATCAGAAGGGAATATGCCTGTTGGTAGCCCACATACTACCATTCCACTATGATTGATATTTTTAGCCTTCCTGAAGGACAGGAAAGCTGTTTCTTCAAACATTGGGCTAGGATGGGGTGGAGTCATGGAATTAACAGTAGGGGTGCTTCTGGGACCTTGGTGTGTGTTTGAGGGGTGAGGTGGGGCTGGAGTTCTCTCTCTCTCGCTGTAAGCCATCAAGTTTCACTTTGTGAGAGGTAGGTGGCATTTAACTTCTGCTCTTTACCAAGAGATGAAAAGCTATGTTGCTAAGAACCACCAAACAACTGTGGCCCAGTTTGGTTCTTCTGCAGTAGAGGTACTGAAACATTTTCAAGTTGTAGCACCTGATTAAAAAATCAATAATCTGATAATTACCAGAACCCCAGTCACGTGATGAAGGCCTAGAAATGAAAAAGCGTATATGTTCAATTAAAGTTTGTGGTATAGTTTTATAGTATAGTTTTACTTTATAATAAGAAGGCCTAACTCCTGGGTAATATATTATGTATTGGGTAATATTGTATAGTAATGGGTACTATATTATTTACTGTGCTCTATGTAATATACTATAGCAAATAAATACATTCACATTCACATAAAAGGCATAACACAGCTGCTCTATCCATTCCTCTGGTAACATTGTCTCTGGCAACATTCACACTTCTCTTGGCTCATGACAAAGGAAGTTTACCTATTAAATGATATATAATTTTGCAGATGGACAACTCATCTCATCAGGCTCATCAGGCTCATTTTGAGAAAAAAGAGACATTGTGTTGAGTTATGGGAGACAGTTTTCACTTTTATGCCCTGTTATATCTCAGTCAAAGCAAAGGATTTTCAAAAGGCCTGTGGAAACGAAGTACATTATGGTGTTGAACCACTTGCCATGGTGCATTTTGGGCTCATTTCACCCCCAGCCAACAGATCGGGTAGCTGGAAGAGGTTTCTATGAATGAACTTCACAAAATGAAAAAGTCAAGCAGGGCCATCAGTTGGACAATGGCAGAATAAAATGACAAATCAGAATCTGGCATTGGGGCAAACCTGATCTTCTCTTGCTAGTGGATAGAGAAGATGCTACAGGGCCACTGTTCATTGTTCCTGTGGCCTGGAGCAGAGTGAATTCTTAATCCCTTGACATTCTGAATCAAGGAGGAGAAATGGAGAAAAAGAAGGAATTACTCTTTGACTGAGGGCCTAAATCTGCTTTCTCAAATACAATATCTTCCAGGCAGGTTGAACCCATGGGGAATGGGAAGTAACTGTAAGTTGAGAAAGGTTATCAATTATGTTCTTTAGCTAAGAGCTAAATAACATAATTGATAACCTGTAGCATAATTGATGCTCTGCCACTCAAGGAATAATCTCTAATTTATGAAACAGGCAGGGAAAACTTAGTCTAGTCATAAAGGTCTGAAATAATTCCTGTTAATCTTTTTTTTTTTTGTAGATTTTGTTGAGATGCTGTTTGCAAGATACCTAGAAGAGATTTTTTTGTTTTTGTTTCTGGCACAGCTGAATGAATGACCCTGAATTAGACTGACTTTTTAAGCTTTGCAATGGTTCCTTCAAATAAATTTGACCAGCTTTATATTCCTTCTTCTCTATTTTTATTTATATTTGTGCATGTCTAGTGTTGGTTTACAAATGAGATGGGACACAATTGCAATTGGAGCTGGGTGGAGCTGGAATGGACAATTGGCCACAGTCATCTAGCCCTGTTTACTTCACCCCAGCCCTCCTGTCCCAGCCAACCCTCCATCGGTGTTCATTCCTGGTTGCCCTCCTCTGTCACTCCTCCCCCACCACTCCTCCCCCATCATTCCACAATTTCCATGTTGCCCTTGGAGATTGGCTAATCTCTGTCAGAGACAAATCACTGTGGCCAATTTGCCATGCAGGACAATTAGCTGCTTAATCTGGTGGCCAATCCATGTGCTGGAGAGTGATCCTCTGCCTTCTCATTGGATACAGCACACAGAGATGGATGGGATGGGCAGCAGCCTCAGGCACCAGCTTTTTCAAAAGGCTGTGTGCTGGGGGGCGGGGAACATGGTGGTTGCAATCAAGCCGCTCCTGTCTGCCAGGTGGACCTTCCTGGTGGTGTCACAGCGCCCTGTCACTCCTAAAATGGAAGGCAATGGGTTTCACCCTGCCTCGCCATCTTCACTGACTGCCCAGTGCAGCACCATCACCTGAGACTTGGAGGGAGGATCTGCCTGCAGAGTCTGTTTTGCTCAGCCGATGCCTTGTCTGGGACCAGTGGAAGTGCTGCAGTGTCCTGTGCCATGCTGGGCAGAGTGGCAGGCGGATATGTAGAGAGAGGCACTTCCCCTGAACCCCTGCCTAGCACGGTGGGGAAGAGGCAGAGTCACTGAGGGTGCAGCCCAGGGCCCGCCTGGGGCCCTCTTCCCCAACCATATCTCTTTGGATGGCCAGCCTCCGCAGGCCCTCCATGATAGGCTGTGTCCAGTAGGCTCCCTCCTCACACCTCTCCAGCCAGGCTGAGCTCTGCCAAACTGGTGAGGCCAATCAGGGCAGCTGAGAATGGACAGCTAGGCTGCAGTGTCCCTGGCAGAGAAGCCCCTCTGCTGCCTCGGAGACAGAAGGCGGGTGGTGGGTGGGTGTCTTCATTCCTCAAGGGGGCTTTAGACCTTCCCCTGTAAAAGCTCTTTCAGATATCAGCCCCCTCCCCAAAAGGCAGAATGTCCCAAAAGGCATCAATTAATCTTCTGCATTAGTCTCTGTACTTGCTAGTAGCAGGAGAGAGGACTGGTCATACAGTAACTCTCCCTTCCCCAAAAAAGTGACTTTCCAAGGAAGAAGGGAAAAGCCTACTAAGCAATTCTCTTCCATGGATGGGGGCTGCTTCTTCTCTGGGCAGGCTCAGAACTCAAGAAAATAAACCAAGGTGTGGCATCTTTGATTTGAAGCAGTTTCAAACAAACCCACTCACTTTGCTCTGCATTCCCCCAACTCAGAAACAATGAAAGGATGTGCAGGGGATATTTACTGCAGAGCAGGGATCCAACCTGGGATAAAAGTGTAGCAGATTCCAAGCCTCTTGAAAGAGGCCACGCCATTCTCTGCATCCTGCCAAAACATGGATCCCTCCACATATGCTGGATTAAAGTCCCCATGGTCCACAGCCAGGATGGACACTGCAGTCCAGCAGCTGGGAAGTGACCAGTTTGGATTAAGCTGCTCTGTCTGTTTAGAAGCCTCAGGTAAATTTTCTCCTTCTGTGAATTAAGTAATAATTCTTTGTTAAGCAATAAAAATGGGATCTTTCACCCAGGTGTTGGGCATCGTTTCTCAAGAAGCTTTAGGACTACTTCATAAACCACACTTTTAAACATCTTAGGTATGCAAAGATGTGTGAACCAGGCCTGCCCTGCCTGCTGCAAAACATGGAGAGAGGATTTAATTTTCCTCTCTTGTTGAGCTTATTAGATCTTGAGCCTGAGGGTAGAACCTCCCTTCTTTTCGAAGTTCTGCACTACGGTCTGGAAAATCAAGGCTGCCTTTGCATGTCCATAAATCTCCTGTTTCCAATAAACGGCCCTTGCCTGGTGCAGTGGATGCTTGTGGCTTGGCCACGCAAGATCCATCTCCCCTTACCTGGTATTTTTCTGGACTCGCTGTTAGGTGAAATTGTCAAACACGATTCCTGCTGTGGGTTTCAAAAGGATGCACTAAACCTGCCTTGCTGGATGCCAGATCGCTTGTCCAGCACTGCTGATGTGCAAAGGCACCTGTCATGCCAGCCACCGTCTCCTGCAGGAGATTAAAATTTTATGGCTGTATTTCGGGCAAGGAGGTTGTCTGCACACCTGGGTCTAGCCAGCTGTTAACCAAACTCCCAAAATTGTCATCTCCGTTTGAGGCAGAACAAGAGATTTCTGGTCTGGGAGCAGGAAAGCAGGATCAAGTTTTTTCCAGGGAATTTTCCCTGCCCATAATAATACAAGAAAGGTAGAAGGTAGAACCAAGACTGAGATATTTCCTAGCTAAAAGGGAAAAGCAATGGGAAATCCCCTTACTGTGTTTTGCAGCAGGCAGGGCAGACCTGCATACTTAAGGTGTTTAAAAGCATGGTTCATGGAGCTACCTTGAGAAATGATGCCCAACACCTGAGTGAAAGATCCCAATTTTATTGCTTGTCAAAGAAGTATTTCTAAATTCAACCAAGGAGGAAATTTTCCTGAGGCTTCTAAAAGGATAGAGCAGCTTAACCCAGTCTGGTCCTTCAGGCCTGATGGATTGTAGTGCCCATTCTGGCTGTGGACCATGGGGACTTTAATCCAGCATGTGTGGAGGGTTCCATGGTTTGGCAGGATGCGGAGGATGGGGTGGCCCTCTGAGGTTTCAAGAGGCTTGGAATCTACTACACTTTTATTCCAGGTTGGATTCCTGCTCTGCACTAAATAGCCCCTCCACATCCTTCCATTGTTTCTGGGTAGGGAATGAGGAGCAAAGTAGGCCTGTTTGAAACTGCTTCAAATCAAAGATGCCACACCATGGTTTATTTTCTTGAGCTCTGAGTCTGCCCAGAGAGGAAGAAGCCCCCGTCCATGGAAGAGAGTTACTTAGTAGGCTTTTCCCTACTTTCTTTGAAAGTTGTTTATTGGGGAAGGGAGAATTATGATCACTCCTCCCTCCCACTGTTGGTGAGTACAGAGGCATTGATGAAGCCCCCTCAAGTGATGAAGACACCCACCCATTGCCTGCCTGCTGTCTCTCAGGGGATGGAGATTTTTTACTACCAGTTCTGTGGGTGTGGCTGGGTGGGCATGGCAGGGGAAGGATACTGCACAATCTCCATTTCCACCCCGTTCTGGGGCCAGCTAGAGGTGGCATTTGCCAGTTCTCCGAACTACTCAAAATTTCCGCTACTGGTTCTCCAGAATCTGTCAGAACCTGCTGGATTTCACCCTTGGTCTGAGAGTTTCTCTGTGAGAGAGCCTGTATTCTGTGCAGGGGCACAAGGCAATTTCGAACCGAACCTGGCAGAAGCCATTTTAACTGTTCCTCAGTTGCCACACAGAAGGGAAGGGAGGGGGGAAGGAGATTGGAATATCTTACACAAGAGAGAGCTTTCTTTTAGGAACCAAGGTCATTTCCACAGGGAACAGATCAGGTCAGGGAAGGAGTGCTTGGAGAGCCCGCCAATTGACACAATTGGCCAACGTGACCCTGTGATGTTTGGGATGAGTTTATTTCTTCTTTTAATTATACTGAAACAACGGAAGTATTTAGAATTGATTTTCCTTTAATCAGTGCCAATATGATGTACTCAATAAAGAAGTCCTTTGAGATGGATTCGAGCCTCAGAGTTTGAATTTCTTTGAGTTTTTATTTATTTATTTTTATTATTTTTATAACACAATATAACAATACAAGACATACAACATTTATAAACAAGCTCTCTTTACAGCTATTGCATGGTGGTCTTCTTGGTTATTCAAAATTTCCCCTTCTTCTCTTTATATTATTCCGATTTACTACTTGTCTCCAACATTTTAATTGCAATATATACAATGTATTTCTCTCATTTTTTCACACTTTAACATATCCTTTCTTTATTTTTAACATTTCTATCTTTCCCCCCTATTTTTCTTTTGTTTTTCCTTCCATCCAACCACTTATACCATTCTTTAAGTTTATTAGTTGAAAACTTGACATTTTCTTTGCTTCTTTGTGTGATGGTGGGCTGGTCAGCTGGCTGGCCATTTGACTGGGCTGCCATACAACTGAGCTTCACCTGACACCAGACTGCAGCACCACCACTGATCCTGGGCAACCACAGCAGCCGAGTGAAGCTGCTCCGCAGGGCAGACTCTCCCCTCTGGGTCCAACGTGGTAGCATGGTAGTGGGTAGGAAGTGGTGAAGCGGGAAAACCCACTTTCCCAAATGCACCAGACAAGACCACAAAAGTTGGAGAACACAGGTTTATTTACTAGTAAAGGTTCGGAGCATTCACATGTCAGATTCCGAACCCTGGGCTAGGCCCAAGGTGTACCTTTTATACATTTTGCAATTCTAGCCAGGCCAGAGGCGTTATGCTTCTGACTCTATTTCCATATATGGATACTATCTTACACAGTCTTTTTCTTTCCATGAACACTTCTGCTAATATGTTTCTTAATATAAGTTCGTTACGGGGATGATATAGAACATAGGTCATTAAGCTCATCGGTACATTTAACAAGTTCCTTATTTCTGTTCCTTGTACTTTCCTGAAGTTTGCAACATAACTTCTGCTCCAACGTCAGTACCTCAGAAAACAATATAATACTGTGCATGATACAATACTTAGATTAATATGATTTATAGTATAAGACCCTTCCATTTCATTGGGATGATGAGGTAGGGTGGAATCCATTGCCCTCCCTTTGGTGGTGGCCAGGTGTTGTGCAGCCTCTGGGTGGCATGACTGGTTGGAGGAGTAGCCTGCATGCCCCACATTGCAACCGCTGTGTTCCCTGTTTCCCGGGCACAGCCTTTTGAAAAATCCCAGCACCCATCCAGCACCCTCTCTGCATGCCACGTCCAATGAAAAGGCAGAGGCGCACTCCTTGGCACATGGG